TAACTTGTCAAGTTATGGTTCATAATCAGATAAGTTATTGACAAACTTGTCAAGTTATGGTTTATAACTAGATAAGTTATGAACAAAAACTGTGAATTATGGACAATAACTTGTCAAGTTATGGTTCATAACCAAACAAGTTATGGACGAAAACAGTAATTTGGCCTATTTATTAACTTATGTAAACTATTGGCCTATTAATTTTAATTCATCTTAAGTCTTGGCCTATTTCCTTCTTTCTCCTTATAAATATATTGGTGAATATCTGCATATTCTTTGGGCCCGTTTAATTCGTTGATTCGAATTTTTAATTCGAATTGAGATGTAATTTTATGTGAGAACTTTTCATTATAGTAAAAAAATTAAATGTGATTGTTTCTGAGAACTTTTTAATGTAACAAAACTTAAATTCTAAACTCAAATTGGTGAAATAAATGAGACTTTTGTTTTATCTTTACTAACATTTTTTTTGGGTATTTACATTAAGGTCGCAGATTTTCTCTTTCATTTATCACGAGATTGCTCGTGTTTCAACTTGTGGACAAAATGAGTAAATCAGCCACAACTTATTGTTGAGCTTTTTACAACATCTATTAGCAAGCTGGTTTGTGATTCATACCAAATAAACGCGCAAACTATAACCTCTTTTTTTTTTTTTTCTTTCTAATGATGAGTCTAATATCTTAAATTTTGGATTTGGAATCTGCATGTGTGCATGTGAAAATGGAGTGGCCAATCTGCATGACTTGCAAGACATATATGAGGATCCACACGCAAGGGATAAATTCATTTTTTGACAAAAAAGTTTTCCAAACAGCCAATTGATCTGAAATGTAGGTCAAGACAGTAATGTGCTTTCCTTTTTGCCAATCCCAAATGATAAAAAAAAAAAAGAACACAAAATTTGTACCTAAAAAGAGGGTCCTCAATGACCCTACCATCATCTTCTTTGTGTCCAATCCTGCTTATAATTTGAAGAAAAAAAGGCTGTGTTCTACGCGCCTCTTTCTCTGACAATTAGTTGTAACTTGTAATATTGGAGGGGAAAAAAAAAAGAAAATCAAGAAAGAGATGAGAGATGCATGTAGACACATCATAAAGTAGCATATGAGATCTTCTCTCAAAATTAGTCTATGGTTCGATACTCTAAACGCATGCTTGAAGGTCCCTTCTCGGTCTATTAATTGTGCGGCGTTAAGTTTGCGGTGATGTGAATGAAATAGAACGCATCTTTTAAGTATAATTAAGTCATTTTTACTTTTTTTTTTTACTTAATGTGCCTATGAATTTTTGCTATTAACGAAAGGATCAAGAGACTATGGTAGAGATAATCCCTTTTTTAACTAGAAAAAAAGTGACATAAGAAAAGCAAAAAAGATTTGTATACAAGGCGGTAAGAATATTTTTGTAGTTGTACTAGAGATAATTGTTAGGAGACCCACATTAACTAATTGCAATAATAAACAACCATATTCACCTGTACGTGGTTATTTAGGGTTTTTTTTTTTTTTAAGTTTTAAAATGGAAAAATAGTTAGTTGATAACGAACGGATTTAATTTACTTCAAGACTTCTTAAAAAAAAAAAAGCTTACGTCAAGACCCTTTTTCTAAAGATATTTCTTGACAACTTTAACCTGTATGTTTGTTTTTCTTGGTTTATTCAGTTTCTCAATGTAATGAAAGAGAAATCTTCATCTTTTCAAAAAAAAAAAAAAAAAAAAAAAAAAAAGAGAGAAATCTTCACCTTAGTATCAGGAAATTGACTTGAATACGCCGAAAGAAAAATGCATGAAATTTTGTTGGTCTTTGTCTCGAGTAATTTGTCCTATATAGTTCGAGAAATACGTTTTAGTTGTGCTCACTGCCCACGCATGCGTCCTCTTTATCACATTCCCATATAATTCTAATATTCTCTCTCTCTCTTTTTTTTTTTTCGCCTTTATAGTCTATATTGAATTCTTCACAGAATTAGAAGCCAAGTTCATGTGAGATAAATGAAAAAAGTTATAATGACACTTGTATGGGTTATGTTTTATTAATTAATGACCATGTATAATCTATACACATAACCCATCATTTTTGTTCTCTTTCAACCGTCAAAATCATATATTTAAAGAGAGGAAAAAAAGAAGTGCTTTACATAGATAAGATGACTTTAATCATTTCTAAAACTAGACTTTTTCTTTCGACTCTAACCAAGAAGATCAGTGGCTCTAAAATTTGGATCTTACCATTGAATCCTATATATATATATATAGATACATACATATAAACTAAACAATGACTTTTGATTTTGTGACATGATAAGCTATATATTTTACCAAAATGTTCTTCTAACTATATATACATATATGTTAAGATAAAACATGGATCAGAATTTCACATTATATAAAATATATATCTACACAATTCTAGGAAAAGAACAAAATAAAAAATGGGTAAGGTATCTAGCATCTTAGCTAAAGGATCAATCAAGATATATAGTGGACTAGATTGATTTAATTATCTCAAAATTTTGGCTTATAATATGAAATGACAACCCAAAATCTCGTTAGACATATTTAACGTTACAAATGCATGCACGTTGTTTAGTTCCATCATTCCACAAGGTGTGTGTGCTCGCGATTAATGTCAAAAAAACATGCAAACTCTAAAACCTTAATTAAAACTGTGGACTCCCTGGGCTTCAAATTAGATGTATACAACAACTTAGGTCAGAGGATAAAATCAATTTGTAACTCTCTGTTATATTGAAATTTTAAGAATATCTCAAAAGTAATAGCTTCGAGTTTTAAAAAAATTCTAAATGTATTTTAAAACATTTAAAAATTAAAAAAACCTCAAAATTTTACATTTAAAATATGAATTAAAAAAAAAGTTCTTAAAATATTTTTGTAAAATTTTCAAAATTTGTAGTTTCTAATTAATTAATCGAAAAGGATAAAGGGACATTTTATGATTTAAAAAAGGACCCTAGAGTATCCACAACATGTTTTCTAAAACTCGAAGCTATCTATTTAATTTTGTTAAAAAAAAATTGAGTACCTATTTTGTTAAAAAAAAATAGAGTACCTTCGAAACAACAAAGGGTGCCAAAATGATATATCCCTATGTATTGGACAACTTAAAATTTTCGACATTTGCCAATTGATATACTAAAAGATGATCAACTCTTGTAAGTCTTATAAGAATATCCTACAAACTGCTCTTAAACTTTGCTTAGTTTTAAGTTTTATAACTAACGAACATTAAACGTCATGCTATGAAATCTACCGTATTGATAGAATTTTGTTTTGAACTGTTAAATTAGTATTATTGTCATTTTTTTAATTTTAATATGATTTTGATCAAATTTAATAATAAAAAACATACACTAACATTAAGAATACCCTGATGAAAAGTTCCTATAACTATGGTTAAAAGGGATAATAGTTAGAAGCCCCTCCTTATCAACCTAATCTTCAAAACATAGTTTGAGATTTAGAAGCTCATTCTCACGTGCCATCCGCCGCTTGGAACAGTGAAAAAGTTGTCAGTTGAAGAGGAATAAATTAGCCCCCCACTTTTTCACCCCAGGTTTCACATTTAACACTTTTTGGTCCATGTGTACGCATAATCCATTTCCACAAAGACATCTGCTTTGGCATGTTAGGCCTTTCTATATATGCTTTTGGCATTTCCTCTACTTTTTTCTCCAAGGAATGAAAGAAAAGCAAAAGAGAGCATACAAAAGATAAAGAGGGAAAAAAAAAAAAAAACCAAAAACAGCACGGCAAAGTACTACTTCAGTTTTTGCAGGTCCAAAGCTTATTATGGAAGATCAATGTAGTCCCTTTGACTGGGATTTCTTCGCCTATGAAGAAGAGGTAAATTTAGATATTCTTTTTTCAGTTTTTCTTTCTTTTTTTTTTTAAAGATTGCCCAATTGCTTAATTCTCTCTACTTTTTGTTGGGTTTTGAGATTTTTCTTGGAATTGCATTTGCAGGGAATGGAAGAGGTATGGTATTCTCTTCTACGCAAGACCTCGGAATTGGAGACGAAAGTTGCTTCTGCCAAAGAGGAGGTCATAAAGAAAGAAGATGAGCTTGTTCATCTCAAGGATTTCCTCAGCAGAGCCATCAAAGAGAGAGACGAAGCCGAATCAAAATGCCAAAGCATAATGCTGGACATTCTTGTTCTCCAGCAACAACTGCAACAAAAGCATGAGCAAGAACAACAGAAGCAGGAAGAAACTGAGGACCAGCAAGCAAAAGAGAGCCACTTTGTTGACCAACATTTTCCTAATTGTTTTGAGTCTGAGAAAGACAGTAGGGACTTGGACCTGCCACCGGGCGCGGAGAAGTTGGTGGCGGGAAAGGCGCTGCCGGAGAAAGGGAAGCTGCTGCAGGCAGTGATGGAAGCAGGGCCACTCCTGCAGACTCTTCTCCTGGCTGGACCTCTCCCTCAGTGGCAGCACCCGCCTCCTCGTGTCGACACCATAGAGATCCCTCCGGTGGCCATTTCTCGCCCTCCGCCGCTGACCTTTCCTCGCCATGACTCTTGTTTTAGTCACAAGAGAAGCCTACCACACTCTGATCATGACTCTGTTTTTAACTCCAACACAAAGTACCAGAGGATTCTCTACTAAGGCTGTAGTTCTTTTTATTTTCTATCTCTTAACCTAAATTTCATGTCAGCCAATTCCTTTCATACTGTAAAACGTCCAAAGGATTCAGCATGAAGTGGATTGCATTTTTGTTTTGTTTTTTGGGGGCATCAGTTTAGAATTTAGACTGCTTTGTCTTGAAGATCAAGATCCTAACTTGTGTAACTTGTTAGCTGAAAGACTGAAATTGTCTTTTCCAGCATATTGTAGCTGCCATTGTGAATATGAGGTAAAATATGTTAAGAATTAGATTCTGTAATTCTATGTTATCGGGATTTTTCGCTGAAGAAAAGGAAAAAAAATAAAAAATAAAAACACACAAGAGTTATAGTGTTTCATCTTAAATATGAGAGCTATACTTTCTTTCAGCTGCTACAAAAATTAACTATGATTAAGAAGAAGATTATAAGCAAAATCACACACATTTCAAACTCACTGTGTTTCTTCTGAAAAGCGCCTCCCATTGATTCATTATAAATCCAGTTGTCTTTTCGTCGTTACAATAATTAAGCTTCACAACTTAAGAAAAGTTGTATAAATTCTCCTGATTATTACTTGGGAATCTGTTATGGATTTACAAATATAAAGTACATTGAGATTTAACATGATGCACTTTGGCTTAAAAACCTGATAGTTGTGCTGATCACAATGCTTTTTCTTAAAGTAGAACATGTAATGATATTGAGTATGACTTTGGCTGGACATAGACTCAAGAGTTTTAGGTACCACATTCATGGCTAATAAGTGTCTGCCATTTACTGTGCATAGACTCATTAAATTTACTTTCATTTTGCAATAGTTAATAAGAATCTTAAAACACACAAAAATCAAATGTGTACCAAATGACAAAAAACTGGACGAATGGAATTCTCTCCACATGACCAAGACTGAGTCAATCAAGTAAAAGGGATCATGGGAGTTGCTTTCTTTGAACCAATACTGAGAGATAAAAGTGTATACCACATGCTTAATAAGCGCAAAAAACATACCAATAGGGCCCTACACTATTTGTGTGCCCAATTTTTCTTGTAAGCATCTTTGCCATTTCTGACTATCTTTATTTACTTATTTTTTTATTTTTTTATAGTCGTATGAATTTTCATTATGATACATATGCATGCACACATAAATACATAAATGTACATGCATACATATGCGTGGATGTATGCTTGTATATATGCTAGAGTGACATACAAATATATATATGCTAGAGTGAATTCTAGCTAATTATGTGTTGAGCAGGAACAAGTGTAACCTTCCAGGCAAGTTCCGCAAAAAATGTACTAAACCAACTGTTAGGGACCAAAAGAAAGTAGGAATCAGACACTAATTGTCCAAGCTAAAGACAATTCGGAATCAGACACGTTACATTTTAACGAAAAAAATGTATCAAAATAGTTGCAGACTTAGCCTAACAGTAGCTAATTTTAGACCTATATACCTTTAATGTCAAGGTCATAATAAGTTCGTAGAGTTCTAAGAGAAATTATCAAAGAAAATGCTGTCCAAAATAATAAAACTATAACATAACAGGTAACAAGTGATCAAAACAAGAATAAACACATATGTTAAAATTTGGAATTAAGACAATTATATACCAAGAGTTCCAGTCAAAACTCTCAAGTCTCAACAGAGAACCAGATTTAAGAACAAAACCAGTAAACTGAAAAAATGCAGAATCAAGATTCTGAATGCACTGCAGAAGATTATAGCATTCAGAAAAATCAGCTTTACAATCAGTTCGTTTCGAGAGCTCTCTTCTCGAATCCCAGAACCCCGATTACACCATTTCAATTATGTTTCAAATGTTTACAGAACTGTAATCTATACTTGTTTTATGAGGCTGTATTCATTGCAAATTTTTTCCAACAGCTCTGCTATCTTGAATATGAGATGAAGGGAATGTGGCGCACCTTGTAGAAATCTTTCCCTTCAACTCCTTCTTCATTGACTCTAACATTGTCTTCAAAATCTATCCACATTGCAACCATATGCAATTCGCGGAGAGTGGAGGCATATTTTAGACCCTCGGGAATCGCCTTCAGTGTTTGCAAACCAATCATATTCAATCTCCTGAGATTCGGCATTGCACCTTCCTCCACTTCCCACTCCTCTAATCTGTATAAGCTTCTGAGTGTAAGAACCTCGAGCTTGGGAAATCCATTGGCAGAACACACCAATTTATACACACTATTTCTGCTAGTCTCATCCACCAGGTCATTATCCAACCGGAGAATTCTTAAGTTCGGCAGCTTTTCCAAAACCGCTAACTCCTGATTTAAATCCCGAAAGAACCTCAAATTAATTTTGGTTAGGCTTTTTTTGGCAAAACTGAAAGAGCTTCTCGCGATAACTCTCCTTCTAAACTTAGTTTGCTCAGGACATGGCATTGAGAAAGCAATTCCAGATTTGGAAATTCGCCTTTGGACATGTGCATCCTCAAGGATTGCAGGTGGCCTAATTGAAAGCCGAGTGACTGAAGGACCAAGCTTACTTCTTTATCGCTGCGAAATGAACCTACTTCAAGATTCCGAATGTTAGTCAGTTTACGCACTGCGCCATAACTGACCAAATCCTTTGCATATATGCCCTTCAAGGTCTCAATGTTTGTTAGGCTATCATTTCCAAAGGGATTATTGGTTACTAGAGAAGTGCATGAATAACGCCAAGGTAATAACAAAATTTTCAAACGGACAAGCCTCGATAATGTCCTTGGTAGAAACATGGTGCCGTTCTCATTACCTCGAAGATCTAGAGTGTGCAAATTTTGCAAGTTGCCTATAGAGCGGGGCAATTTTGACTCATCACTAGCCCCGCTTAACCTCAAATATCTCAAGTGAATTAAATTACCGATTCCTCTCAAAGATTTATTACTCGGAAATTTAGTCCAATTAAAATCAAGTTTCAATACTCTTTAACAGTATGAAATTTTTGGTTACAGATACTATGGGTAGAGTATCAATACCAAAGCATAGAAGAGAGCGGATACTGGGACCTACTTGTTCCATCCAATTAGGTGTGCGGTGATGAAGATCGTGGTCGTTAACATGAATAACAATCCTGCGAAAACGAGTCGCTGGATGAAACTGAACTGAAGAAGAACCAGCCGTCATCATGTTCATATGGTGCTCCTGCATAATGTCTAGGAAATTCTCTGCCTTCGCCTTAGAAATGCAAAAATCTCGCATAAGATCATGAAATCGGCATGTTTTGACACCTTTTCCTGTATGGTCCCTTTTGTCCACCCGAACCATGCATCTATCAACCAATTCTCCCAAGTAATGTTCAGCCACATTTTCTATTAATTCCCCTTCTATATCTTCTCTTTCCATTGTTGATATAAAGCCTTCTGCGATCCACAGTCGAATCAACTTGCTTTTGGGTATCTCACTATCTTCTGGAAAGCTTCCTAAATAAAGGAAACATGGTTTCAAGTAGTAAGGCAAATCTTGGAAGCTCAAGTCCAAGATATCGTCTACTCGGTATTGTTGTTCCGATTTGAGCTTGTTGATGTGTGATTTTGCATCTTTTTGCACCTTTTCCCATGCACCCAATGAATTTTTATTTCTCAATAAGCCTCCAAGAACTACAATTGCAAGAGGCAGTCCTCCACAATTTCGAATCATTTCCTTTCCTATCACTTCGAATTGCGGTGGACAAGCATGCTTCTCAAATGTTTCTCTTGGAAAGGCTTTTCGCTTAAGAAGCTCCCAGCTCTCCGCAGGCGTCAAAAGTGGAGGTTGAATTGGAGAACTGTTGTTGGGACCAACAGACAATGCTACTTCCTTGATGCGCATTTGATTCTGATAAAACAGTGCGCATTTGATCATATTTATTTTTTATCCTGTTAGCTGGCAGATTGCCTTAAATAATTCGTTTGTTTGTTTGTTTTTGTTTTGGTTTTAATTTCCATGAAGATGCCTTTAAAATATTGATTCTAAGAAATAGATTTTGAAGCTGTATCATTCAAGAAACTTAATCCGAATTTGGCAAAGAAGAACAAAAGCCTGATCAGAATTTTTGCTTGAGGCCACTAGCTAACTTCTAATTAAGCTTTCGTAGTAGAAAATTTGGCCCAAAAAAAAAACCTTAATCCAAATTTGGCAAAAAAAAAAAAAAAAAGAATTATAATTAAGCTGAAACAATACAAATTGTGGAGGACCATGGAAAAGCCAACAAAACACAGGTTTAGTTCTTAATCAATTATTGACGGGAATTGTCAGGCCCAACCATTAAATACTAGCACCAGCAGACTTGTCATGACTCATCACGCTGTTGAATGAAATAACATAGAAAATAAAAAATAAAAAATGAAAAGTTATTAAATGTATATTTTTTTAAAATGTAATTGACTATATTTTACCTATTATGAAAGAGGATCATTTTTCGTGAATTTAAAAATTTATCTGCTCTAAAAAATGTGGGTAGCTCGTGTTCATGACGAAAATTATTCTCTCTACGTATATATCAGTTGAAGTTCTTCTGAATTTGAGGAAGAATTCTCCCCAACTTAGAGGGTGAATGATTCATATTGCATTTGAGAAAAGAACATATGAAAATCGGAGGTCATAATTTTTACTAGAATACAAATACTATAGAAGAAAAGTCAAATTGACAACTTCACAGTTTCTTTGAAATGAACAACTTCACAGTTAGTAAAGTGTACTTTTGCAATAGTTTGATATAGGAAAGTCAAGCTTCATTTTGACTTAATTCTTGGGTCAAATATAAATTAGATTTCTCTTTCTTTCTCTTCTAATTTTTGCAATTGATTACTTCAATTTTATTTGTAGATTTCTGATTCTGTTTTAGACAATTTAACTAAAAAAAATCAATTTTTTTCATGGATAATATAGTAAGTTTAAGAATCAAACTAATCATCTCCTCCTTCTTCCTTTTCAATACCAAACAAGAAGGAATGATAACAACAATTATTCATTACTATTATACTAAACAACTTTACAAAAATTATAATACATCCCTTCCTTTCCACTCCTGGTCCCTCATATCCTATCCATCATTTCACGAATCTATTCTTCCTACGAAACAATTCCTTAAGGTATTACTCATACTAAACGGACCCTTAAGATTTTAATCTCATCCTATTACTCTATCCGTTACCTCCTGTAAAAAGAAGAATGGGTTTTTCTGGGCACTAAAAAATCGTTTTGTCAGAGTCATTTCGTTACTTTTCCTTTTTTTTTTTGAAATATTAATAACACCCTTTTACCCTCTTTTCTTTCTTTCTTATTTTTTTGCCTTACTAGACAGTCTTCCTTCTTTGACTTTCCCTAAATTGACCCTCATAAATATACTTTTTTATTTAACTTCTTGTTGAATTCATTTCTTCTTCCACAAATCAATGTCTAATTTTTTTTAAATCCTCTTCCCTTGACAAAACATTTCTTAAGTGGGTTATTTTTGTTTAGTTTTTACTTTCCTTCTTTTTTTTAAATCCTCTTCTCTTTAGTTTCGAATTGAGATGTGACATTTTTTAAAAACTTTTCACTATAGCAGAAAAAGTTAATGTGACATTTTTTGAAAGCTTTTTACTGTAGAAACCTAAAACTGAAAACTCGAATCGGTGAAATGAACGAGGCCACATATTAAATTCCACGTCTCGAATATTAGGATAAATTAGAGACCGTTTGGTTAGAGGATTTGTTCTCTGATTCGAATCATGGTTCATGATTCGCTACAGTATTTTCTCTCACAAAAAATACATGTAAATCGAAAATGAATTTAATCCATGAACCAAACGGGCTCTTACTTTAATATTAAAAAGGGAGAAAGAGAGAAATAGGTCAAGACTTGAGATGAATTAAAATTAATAGGTCAATAGTTTACATAAGTTAAAAAATAGGCTAAATTACTATTTTTATCTATAACTTGTCTAGTTATGAACCATAACTTAACAAGTTATTGTCCACAATTCACGATTTTTGTCCATAACTTATCTGGTTATGAACCATAACTTAACAGTTTTGTTTATAACTTATCTAATTATAAACCATAACTTAACAAATTATGACCTATTAATTTTTATAACTAAAAATTAATCTATATATTTTTTTAAACTTTTCGATTTTCTGTTATTTCCGTAAGAATACAACGTTGTTATGACATTAGACTCGTATGTAAAGTTTGTTCCCATGGAGAGAGCCCATAAAATTGGGCCAGTGAATGTGGCCCACATTATTGGCCTCCGTAAACGGTATCTTTAATGTTTCATGATTTAATTATGGTGAACTCGTATCGTTACAGTAGTTTCATAAAAACCAATCGGTCTAGTTTTCAATATTTACTGTTTTATGTAATTTTTCTGTTTTATCGTCCACTTAACCATTTTTCCTTAAAAATTCCTTCTTAAAACCAACAACAAGGAATTTCACAAGTATTGTAAAGTTACCACTTTTACGTTCGAAATCATTAATCTACATACAATTTCCATTGATTTATGTACTTTTAATTGGATTTCATATTGTTTTTACCTCACATTTTTACGTTCGAAATCATTAATCAACGCACAGTTTTCATTAATTTTGGAGTCTCCAATCTGATTTCGTGTTGTTTCATTTATACCATTTGTTTCATGATTTGATTATTGTTAACACATAACATCACTGTAATTTCATAAATCTTTAATCGTTAACTGTTTATAAATGACTGTTTTACGTATTTTTATTGTTTTATCGTCTACTTAACTAATTTGCCTTATAGACCTTTTACTGTTGTCACGTTATCAATATAAATTAATTTATTTAAACCTATTCATTACTCTTTGCACTGCTTCCAATTACAGAATCATTATTTTTTTCTTTTTTCCAAAGCACGTTTTCCGCACATATATGTTTAAACAAGTCCGTCGAATTCAATAAGTTTAATCCAACGGCTAAGACAAGTGAGGCAACGTTACTGAATGGAGGATGAGGTACGTGAGACAAGTCGTGTGAGTATATATATATATATATATATAAAGCACCCTTATCTTTTCTCAGATAACAAGTAAATTATGTTCATCACATTTACAATTTCCTTTCGTCCACCAGCCTAGAAGGAAATTTAATACTCATTTTTTTTTTTTTTTGCTCTTGCAAAGATCTTAGCTAGAAAGGGAAACACTTGAAAGAGAATTCCTTTAAGTTTTCAGAGGAAAAGTAGTCCGTTTAGTGAAGAAACAGGCAAATTTTCATCCATCCAAGTAACAAGGGAGGGCGAATTTGTTAACATTTTGAAGTTTATAAGGGAAATGGAGAGTTTTCTTAAGGCAGGGGGCAAACTGAAAAAGTGACTTAATTCAATGGAAAGTCATAAAATTTATCCAATATAATGCTGTGAAATCATCATATGAATTATTAATAAGATGCATAGACCTTATTAACCTTCATGATATCAATGGTGGAATACAAATATATTCCTAAAGTTAATAAATAGTACTAGAAAGGAAATTCTATTGTTTCCATGTCTAGGTCTTAATAGATAAGTAAAAACTAAACCCGACTATTTGCTTATTTCTTTCTTTAAGTCTTTGTCCTCTCTTTTTACATACCATTTCCATTATAGTAAAATTTACCCTTAAATTCCAGAGCAGGTGCTTTTGATAGATGGAAAATAACTTAATTTACGCAATATCCAATTACAACATTCAAATAATTTTCGTATGAAAGAAAAACCATTTGCAGCAAATGACAACTAAAACCAAAATATTGAAAATATACTTGAAAATATCCCAGCAGGCTGCTACCTGCAGTAGCCTTCTGGTGACCTCTGTGTTGGCAGTAGTCTACCACGCTATCTACAGAATCACTATTAGAAATAGCAGATTAGGAGTCAAGATTCTTACAATTATTTCGTAAATTTCTACCTTTTGAAAATTTGTTTTTTAGTTATTTTTTATCGGTTAATTAAATAATTATTATTCTAGTTTTAATTTTCTGGCTATGTATCCCTCTACTTTTAGGAACTATGAAAGCATCGCTTCAATAATCTGGAAAACTATTCCAATTTCATTCCTTTGCATTTTGTGAATGAAAAAGGGGGCAAAAAGACAGAAAATTTTATTTAACTAGTTTACAAGAAATATTTTAAGCACTAAAAACAAATAAAAAAAGATCTTGTATTTTATGTTCATTAAATGTTTAAGAGAAAAATACCTAAAATAGCCCCTATATGTTGCCTAAATATAACTTTTTCCCCTTTTATTATATAAATAAGCAAAATATCCTTAACTTTGTAAAATCAAATGTTCTTTTCACATATTCGAGTTGAGAACTTAAGTTAAAAAGTAAATTTATTTGAAAGAAAACATTATAACAAAAAAGTTAAATTTAATTTTTTGTAAGAAATAATACCATAGTAAAATGTTGAGTTGTGATTTGAATTGTGAAAAAATAAAATAAAAAAAGGTTGAGTTGTGATTTGAATTGTAAAAAAAATATATATAAAAAATTTGAAAATATCAATAGTACAGTTCCCAATCTATGCTAAAAATTATTTTAAATACGTTTCGAAATAATTATTTCAATTGAACAAATAGTTTAATTATTTTAAGAGTTTTAATTTTTTTAATGTTGATTTTATATAATAGTTTGGTTTAATAATGTTTTCAATTGTATTTAATGTAATTTTAGAATTTGAAGAAAATTAATTGCTTTGAGGAAAAATTTTGAGTCTAATTTTTGTAAGCACATGGGGTACCTATTGCATAATAATAAGAGGAACAAAAGTACTGTTATTTATGCAAAACACATGGGATGTTTGGGTATAAATTTTCAGAAATTCTCGCCTCAGAGAAACACTCTAAATTTAACTATAAGATAAACAAAATAACTACAAATCACAATTTTCTGGTTTGAAATTAATTATAATACAAGATTCGTTCAAGCTACAAAATTACGTCTCTCTCCAAGAAACTTATCATGATCAGCTCCTGCATATTTAACAAGGAACACAATTAATTAGAAATATTGATACTTGGAGGGCAAAGTCCATGAAAATGAGATGGAAGAAACGTGACGAACTTTGTAGAAATCTACTCCTTCAATTCCGTCTTTCACTCTAAGCCTGTCTTCAAATGATCTTCTCATGTCACTAATCTTAAGTTCCCTAAGAGAAGTAATATTTTTCAATCCTTCTGGAATCATCGCCAATTCAAGCATATGCTTGATATGCAATCTCTTGAGATTTGGCATTGCATATTCCCCCACTTCCCACCTTGTAACTTCTTCCAGCGAAAAGAGTTGGAGAGTCTCCAGCCTTTGAAATCCTTCGGCACCGCAAACGATTTCACTTCCGACGTAGGCGTTGTGCAATCCGAGGAACCTCAGATTCGGAAGCTTCTCCAGAATTGGCATGGGGTCTTCTTTGAGGCCGGAGTCGCACAAGATCAGCTTGGTAAGACTTGTCGGAAGAAATTCGAGGTCGTGAGTTTTCGATATCTTCCCGTCTAAAAATAGCTTGGAGAGAATGACACATTGACAAAGTGGCTGAAGACTTGAAAACCCCTCGTTGGAGGGAATAGACATGTGCAGGGACTGAAGCATGCGGAGTTCAAGATTTGGTGACAAGAGGAACAACCTAATTTCTTCATTGCTTTTGAAGTGCACCCCTAAGTTCCGGAGATTCGTCAATTCGCAACGTAACATCTTGTTCCTGAGAAGAAATTGCCCAAATCTTATGTACTTGAGAGTCTGGATTTGTCTAGGGTCAGAAAGAAGGTAAGTTGCCCAAGTAAAGCCATGAGGAAAAGATGTTCGAAAAGGCAACAAGAGATGCTTCAGTCGCTTTAGCCTCAAGATCTCCAACGGCAGTACTACTTCGGCATTTTCGCGAAGATTCAGGGTGCCTAAATTTCTCAGGTTCTCTATGGAGCTTGGAAGTTTTACTTTACCGGCATCTCTTATCCCTAAGTACCTCAAGTGAATTAACTGGCCGATTTCTGTTGGCACTGTACACTTGCTGACCATGGTGCTTCTATTGAACCCGAATTCCAACACCCTTAGCAATCTCACGTTCTTACTTTTTATGTATTGCACCAGGGAAGATGATGAAATCGCGTCGAAGCATAGCAGAGAACGGAGATGGGGATGCATTCGAGTTGGATTGAGATTGCACCCGGGATGAATGGCAATTCGGCGTGTTCTTGTTGTCAACGTCAATTGCTGAATTGAGAAACAACTTGTTGATGTTTCCATCATGTGGTTGATCTCATGTTGTCGGATAACCTCGGAGAAGTCGTCCTCCCTCGCCTTTGACACGCAAAAATCACGCACAACATGGTGAACTCGACATGTTTTTATCCCAACCCCGGTGTAGTCCCTGTTGCCTACTTGAACCATGCACCTATCAATCAACTCTCTCAAGTATTGCTCGGCTATTTCTTCCATTGTCTGTCCTCTAGTTGCGATTGGTTCCGTCACTAGGCCTTCCGCAATCCATAGTTGAATTAGTTTTCTTCTAGGGATCTCCATATCCTCTGGGAAGCTCCCCAAATACAGAAAGCACGGTTTCAAGTAGTAAGGCAAATCATGGTAGCTTAGCGCTAACATCTCTTCAACTCCATATTGTTGTCCATATCTATACCTATTTAAGTGGGCATTCACATCTTTCTCAACTTTCTTCCATTCATCTTCCGAATTTTTCATCCTTAAAAGGCCTCCAAGTACTACAATTGCGAGTGGTAGTCCTCCACATTTCTTTACCATCTCTTTTCCCATGCGCTCAAACTCCGGCGGACAACCACGCTCACCAAAGACGTCGCTCGGGAATGCTTTCCGGTACAAAAGCTCCCAACTTTCTTCGAGATTTAAAAGCGGAGGCTCGATGGGGGAGCCATGTGGATCGGCATAGGATGCCAATTCCTTCATGCGTGTGGTGAAGACAACTTTACTTCCCTCCTTCCCTTTAGGGAAAATCTTTTTTATGGAATCCCAATCGTCAACTCGCCAAATATCATCAAGAACCACTACATATCGCTTTCCTCTTAGCTTGTTTTTAATCAAACCAATTAACTCACCCTCTTCCACGGTTTTCAACAGCTCTCTTTCTTTTTTTCTCGCTTCTAAAATCTCTTCCGTAACACTTGTGTAGTGAGATTGAGAAGAGTAACCAATTTGAATCAAGATTTCGGAAAAAACATCCCTTGCCACGTATTCTTGAGATATCAAAACCCAAGCACAACATTCAAAATGTTGCTTCACATCACAATCATTGTATACTTTCTTAGCAAGAGTGGTCTTACCTAATCCGCCCATTCCCACAATGGGAATTGCGCATAAATGATCTTTCTCCTCCAACAACCGAGTCTTCAAAACGGTGGTATCCAATCCGGTTACCTCATCGTTCTCCTCTTCCTCATCGTCAGGATACGATCTTCTCAACTCAACGGTAGAAAGACCTGCGCCCCCCGTAGCCAGATCTCTGCTATCAAACCTAATCCCATAATTACTCCTGCTCTCAAATATACTCTTTATCCTTGTTTCAATGGAGTCGATTTGTTTTCGGAGCTTTCGGAGATGAGAACCACCTTTGACAATCGAGGCCTCGGCTTTGACGATGAAGATCTCGATGACATCCTCGATTTCGCAAGCGATGTTTCGGAGTTCCGACACCCAGTTGCGGACGCTATCATCTGCAGATTCCGCGTGCCTGCTGTCGAAGCTTCTCAAGAAGGACTGCATCCGCCGCAGCTCGATCCGTAGAGTCTCCACGTCGTCCTTGACGCTGGCTAAAGAAGCTGCTTCATAGATTAGAAGGTAGGAGATTCTTTCTATTGCTTGCGAAATCACCGCCTCTGTCAATGCTGATAGTACCAGCATTTCCGCCATTGTTGAATATTGAATAACAAAGCTGTGAGTAAAATGATCAGATAGAAAAGCAGTACAGTTTCAACGATGATCAGTTGGTGGAGCCAATAATGTAGTATTCAACACTTTCAAGGACTTTGTTTCTCTCTCTTTGTTTAATTGTTTCTCTCTTTCAATGTAAGAGTTCCTTTTTTTTTTTTTTTTTTTTTATGTAATGAATCTCTGTGAGGGTCACTAATACAGTTACAAGCCTTTTTTTTTTTTTTTTTCTTTTGTCTCTGAAGTCAACAAATTGCAAAACGGCAATACCCAGTGCAGGTTATTTTACAAAGTCCAATTTCTTGAGAGTTAAGATCCAAAACTCAACTATCAAAAAATAAAATAAAATAAGAGCAAGAAGCAAAACTCATCTTTGTTTATTCTAGAATCTAGTCAGCCTCAAACATATTTTTCTTATAGTTATTTTCTGTCCATGTTGCTTCCTGGAAATAACAGCTTCTGTGTTGACTAAGGACTCGTTTAGTTCGCTGATTTGATTTTTAATTCGAGTTGAGATGTGATTTCATGTGAGAATTTTTTACTGTAATAAAAAAGTTAGATGTGTTTGTTTGTGAGAGCTTTTTACTGTAGCAAAACTTGAATTCTAAACTCGAATCAGCGAAATGAACAAGACCTAAGTCTTTAAGGTCTTTTTCTTTGGATATGAGAAATTACTGAAACAGTTAATTTAAGATATTAAGTACAATAATGAAAACACTTAACGAAACACCAAACCAGAGTTTAGTTGGGATGTGAGAAATTATTCTCCCCGATAAAAAGAAAATAAATCAACAATTTAACAAAACACATCTCTTTGTTTTTTTTTAATTTTTTTCTAAAAATAAAAACAAAGAACAAAGGAGACCTTGTAAAGTTTTTTTTTTTTTTTTTTTTTTTTTTTTTTTTTTTCCCCAAAAAATTTTTTTTTTTTTTTTTTTTTTTTTTTTTTTTTTAGCCCTGAAAAGTCTTATTTTGTTTTGTTCAACAGATAGCAACTTCGCTTTCTTTTATCTTCTTTTTTTCCTCGTTACCATTATGCACACCCTCCCAGATGTTTACATTATTTAGGATTTAGAGATTTTTGACAAAGAATATGAATAAGGATATTATGGAAGGGTCCTTCTAGGATATGGCCCTCAATGTATATATAGTATAAGCAGTTTTTATATAAATTTGAGGACTGAAAAATAAAAATATAATAATAGTTTATTTTTCCTCTACAGTAGAAACCTCCATTAAAAATAAATTAGCAAAAACAATCTATAAAAATGAATTATATGCCAAGTGCCAACGTACGACTTCTAGTATAGCTATATATCATTAATATTTGAGAAATTTATAACCGGCATTTCTCAATCTAGAATGAAAATGGTTATTTTCCGTTTCCTCAAAAAAAAAAAAAAAAAAAAAATTACTAAAAAGAAATGCTAGCATTATTTTATCTTTTACTATTTTTATTAATTATTTATATTTTATATTTTATTAATATGATATATTATTATTTAAATAGAAATTTAGATAACAAAATACACATTTTAAACAATAAATACAAGTCAAAATGATAAAAAAAAAGTGATATTAGTATTTCTTTTTACTAAAACAAAACACACATATATATATATATATATATATATATATATATAGGGAATTTCCTCACATATGACTAAATTAATAGAAGATGACGATTTTGGAATACATACAAGGTGGTCCTGTTTTATGCTTGGGTTTTCCCCCATTAACGTTTGCCATGAATCGTGAGTATATATACATATATACAGATCAGATTTTTTTTTTTACAACACGACAAGTACTTCTGTCGATTTTGATAATACAATTACTAACATGTAGCCAATACGCCGTGGTCAGTACGTACGACCGTACTGGTGTGCCAAAGCGGATAAGAAAAAGGTGGTCGAGAATTCACGAGAGTGCTTATCATTATTAATTGTGTCAACTGTATAATTGACTGACTGATTGATTAACGTGTTGGAACTTAAGAGGGTTGATAGTTTTGGAAGATGTATTAGAGGAAGCATGTGGGCCATTAGATTGGCTAATTACCGCCCATTTTCTAAGCAGACTGTTTGTTGTTACTTTGAACATAGTTTTGCACACACAAACACGAAAGAGATTCAATTTTGTTCATGCATCTATTTGTCTAACCAAATCATATTCAGGAAAGGGAGAGGAATGCTAAGAATAAGATAGGTGACTAAAAAAGTATATTTTATCTATTTTATGACCTTGTTTTTTTTGGAATAATAAAATAATTCCCACACGTACTTACATTAATAATACATATAGTCAATTGCATATTATTATATATCGAGAAATTCACAATTATACTTAGTCCTTTTTATGCAAAATCATGAAATATATCATAATAGGGAAAAAAATATATTTGGAATCCTATTTTGAAGGAATTTTCAAAAGATTTCTAATTTTAATTGAGGAAGCTTAAATTTGTAAAAATAGCACACTCAAATGTTTAGTCCCGTTCATTTCACCGATTCGAGTTTTATTACAGTAAAAAGTTCTTAAAAACAGTCACATCTAACTTTTTTACTACAGTAAAAAGCTCTCAAAAGTCATATCTCAACTCAAATCAGCGAACTAAACAGGCCCCTGTTTCAAAATATATAAACTTAGAATTTGTGGAATTTAAAATTTTGAAACTTACTAATTTTACTTTTAGAAAGTAAAATAAAATCCTATTTTGAGAAATTTTAAAAAGAATATATCAAAAGATTTAATTTATTAAATTTTATTTTTAAAAAATAAAACTGTAAATTTAATTTTGGAAATTAAATTGGAAAAATCTGTTTCTGTTATGAACCAATTTTAAAAATCCAAAAGGTTTTAAATTTTTTTTTTTTTATTACTTTTATGGAAGCTTGTGGGAGCTCATGAAGACTAAATCAAAAAATACCTATATATAAATAAATCATAAATTGTGGTAAATATTAAATTTTTGAAACTAAATTGAATAAATAACAGATTTTATGACCATCAATTAAAATAAATATCATTGAAAAAGAAAATCTATTTGCACTAGAAGGAGGGTGCCCAGTCTTTCTCTAACACTCCCATTTCCTTCTTTCTTACATTTTTAGGGATGAAGAACTCAAGAAACAACAACCATATCGAAGCTTCTCGTTCTGCTGGACCAGCCAACTCCCGGCCGAGCCGACACTGGTCTTAAGTTTGGATTGTGAATTTGTGATTTACTGAATTAATTGCTTACTGAACTTATGTCGGTAGCATATATTTCTTCATATTCCAATTGACTTCCTTTTTAAGTGGTTGCAATTTTTTTTTTTTTTTTTTTTTTTGAAATTAGGAGGGGAGGGATTTGAGTTCTACGCTTTATGGTAGAGTCAGGTAATAAAGTGATGACTAGGCTGCGCTTGCAATTACATATTTTCTTTTTTTTTTAATATAAGAATCAGTCTATTATAAATTTAATTTACTAGCACACAAACATAAACTAACGTATCTCTGTATCCACACAAGATAAACTATTAAAATCTCTTTTATTTTACAGATTTGAGTTGAGATGTGATATTTTTTAAAAATTTTTAACTGTAATAAAAAAATTTAAATGTGACATTTTTTAAGTATTTTTAACTGTAAAAACTTAAAAATAAAATATTAAATTAGTAAAATTAACGAAACTTAATTATTTCTTTAGGAAGAAAATTCGACAATAAAAAATTGACACACGATCAAGTCAAAAAAAAAAGTGTGAATTAATCAGTCCTTTTAAGTATTCATACTTTTCTCCCTATGCATTGTTTAGAAATTACAAAGCCGCGACACGTGTCAATACTATACAAGTAAGCAGTTGGTGCACACGTGGTTAAAATGCAACGTCTTATTTTTCTTTTCTTTTTTTGGATAAATAAATACGTAAACTTTATATAAAATATAGGACTAATTTTATTAGTTTTTTTCCCCCCCCGTTAGTCATAAGCATAAATTCTGATATGGATTTGAATTAGGTGCCCAAGTATTTTGTATTAGGGAAAGTAATATATGTTTTATTAACTTAATATAGCTTACTCACTAGATTTGCTAAGGTCTATAAATATATCTATAAATATATCTGTCAAGATTTTTATTTTTTTTTCGGGGTCAAAATGAAGAAGAACTAAAATGGGATTTCAAGCAAAAGAAAATTGCCAGACTGGCAAGCGACAACATGCCAGGGAATTACCAAAACCAAAGGCTAGAAAGTCCACGAAAGACAAAAACGTACAGCAAGATAAGAATCAACACGCGTTAACAGCTCATTGAAAGCGATAAATACATGTAAGTCGTGTTTATTTTATCGATTTAAATTTAAAATTTAAAATTTATTATAATAAAAAATTATATTTAAATTTTTTATTATAATAAAAAAAATTTTATATAAAATTATATTTTAACTCAAATTAAAATTTAAATTAACGAACTAGTGCCCATTAACTTCAAAATTTGGACTGTTAGCATTAATATTTATGGGATCGTAGAACTTTGATCTTTTCTCTACTTTGTTTTGTTCTTTTTAAAAAAAAAAAATGGAAATTACGGAAGTAGGCCATACCCTTGAAGAAAATTATAGTGCCCACTTGGTATATAAGTTTATTTAAATTTTTATACGAAAAAATATTTAGACCGTAACAGAACTATTTGAATTGAATTTTAAATCTTTTTAGCAAACATGCACAATTGCACAGATATCGCAATTTGCAAGTGCCATTCAATTTGGAATACTCCTATATTCGGCGATTGAGTGGCATAGATCATGATGTAGGAAGAAGAGAGGATTAGTGTACAAAAATCATACTCCAATCTCACCAGTCTAATGGTCAAAACTTACTCATTTTTCACTTAGCTTAAATCTAATGGTTTAAATTTATTTATCTTCTCACACCTCACACTCTCACACAAATTACTAGCATTATCATGAAACAAATTTTACAATCTAATTGTGCTCATCACAATTAAGCCAAACTATATATACCAACACTTAATCTCATATTCTACACACATACATATAACATTCTTTAACTCTAGCTAATAAATCTGCTTTGCTCCTTTTTTAATTCAACATTTCCTTTTTTTTTTTTTGGAAATATTGTATTTTTAGATCTTTCTCATTAAAATATTTTTCCCCTTAATTTAAAATAAAACAAGAGAGAATGATAGGTCTGCACTTTATTTTTTCACTTCAACTTTTTGATTGCCGCCTTGTTTTTTTTTTTTTTTAAGGAAAAATCTAGTGTTTTTAGTTCTTTCTCATTATAACCTTTTTTTTTTTCTAAGTTATATTTAAAATTATTTTTTTCTCAAATAGACTCTTACTCAAATATTTTGCTTGCTTTTTATTTTTTTTTTAGAATTTATTATTTTTTATTTCCAGAAATATTTGAACTTGTAAATCTTTATACTCATACTATATGTACATGAGAACAATTATCAATTGATTTTTGTTCAATCGCTATTGGATATATATAATATTTCATATTTTATACAAGTCTACACTATCATTATAAAAGTTTATGATCTTATTTTTAGTTTGAAAAAAAAATATATAAGTTGGTTAAATGCCTATACATGTTCAAGTTCAACTCAATATTATAATTTAAATTAACATATTTATTTGTATATTCTCATAATAAAAAAAACAATTAGAATGAATAATTAGAAAACATTGTTAACAATACTTATAATTTTAAATGATATTTACACACACACAAAAAAAAAAAAAAAAAAAACATTAGTACTAACGGGGGACGTGCCTACTAGTATAATAGAAGCGTGGAATATGTCCAAATTAGGAGCTTTTGTGGAAGTCGTGTCAGAGAGTTTGATTTATATTGTATTTACATTAGTATTAGCCGATTAGGGAATTAGATTTGCGTTAGGATTTACCTCCTATACACTTTATATTATCTTTATTTAAGAGAATTGAAAAGTATTTTTCTGCAATTGTAATAAAACTTTAGTGTTTCTTTTTCTCTCTTTTCTCTTCTTCTTTATTTTACATTGGGTAATATCACACATTTTAACTTCTCTAGTTAAAAAGTGGGGCAAACAATTTGTGGTTTTTTAAATAAAGATTAGCTTGTAATTAGTTAGAGTTTATCACATTGGCAGAGTTGTCATTGGTTACTAGCTCACATGTGTTAGCGTTTTACTTGCAGAGATAGAAATTGATAGCTAAAGCAGTTGGATTTAGCCAAGGCCTTCTCACAAACAAAATAGAGATCATGTTCTATATGTTTGGTCCAAGAATAATAACAAGATTAGACTCAAACTCAAAGCAACTGTAGACATCAAATCGCTCTCTGCACCCTACTTTAAGAATCCTGTCCGGCTAATGTGTTGTGCACACATTTAAATGTCTATGGCATGAATAAAAATTAGGTTCAAGTGGAATTGACTCAAGTCTTTTTCATTTCTTTAGTGGGCTCCGAGATTTTTAAAGTGACGAAAGAAATAATGGAGTGTGACAACACTAATAGTTTCTTTTTTATGCTTAAAAAAAAAAAAAAGTGGTCTCTGCATGAATGTGCAGCTCTCGGAGAGGGGACGTTATATATTCATATTAGTTTTGTAGTGGTATTGTCCAAACTTTCATGCACTATAGTATTTAGTGATTGTTAAAACATTTCACTATGGTTTCTATAAAGTCGCAATTTAAGATAATAATAATAATAATAATAATAATAATAATAATGATGATGGGAGAATGAAGAAAATAACATAGTTGTTGGGGTAATTAGAATGTATAGCAAAAAATTTGAGGAACTGAAATTTAGAACATAGAGAGAGACAGAGAGAGAGAGCCTAAGGAGAGAGAAAGAGAGACACAAATAAAAGAGAGAGGGCGAGCAAAACAGAGGGCAACCACCATGAGAGAGAAAGAGTGGGGTGCGTAGAAATACCAGCCAAATCCAATCCAATAATCTTTGGTTATCCCATTTTTGTTGAGATGGTTTGAATTGGTTCGGTAGGATCAATTGGATGATTGTATCTTTTGCTCACCTCTAGCGAAATTAACAAAGTGAAATTTCTACAGTAAGATTTATTTTTTTAATTACCGGTAAGTATTATTGTTTTAACTGTTAGATTAAATTTTCAACAGTTTAATTTATTATTTGAACAATTATGTTGAAATTTCTACAGTAAGATTTATTTTTTTAATTACCGGTAAGTATTATTATTTTAACTGTTAGATTAAATTTTCAACAGTTTAATTTATTATTTGAACAATTATGCGTCACTTGTTATAATATTTTGAGGTGACCACTCATTATTCAGACCTCGTTCGTTTTGCGAATTTGAGCAGAAAAAATTAAAAATGACATTTTTTGAGAGATTTTTAACTGTAAAAATTTAAAATTGAAAATTTAAATCAATAAAATGATTTGATTTAAGGCTGTTCGGTTGAGTGCTAAACTCAAAAAAAGCCAAACTCAAGTTACAATTTAAGTCCAAGTTGTTCTTTTGGGGTGAACTCAAATCAAAACTTGAATCTTAATTCAAGTGAAGCACTAGTTTTCAAGTTCATGAACCCCCGACTCACTTCACTTGAGTTAAAGGCTAGAGTATTTTTCCTTCGTATACACGGCAGTGGGTGTACTTTCCCCTTATCTTAGGGGACGAATTTCAACCACAAGATAAAACCTGATGGTTGAGATTGAATATGTGCACTGAAATTATTCTAGACCACATTGCACTTAATTCCACTAAATGAAAATATCTAAAAAAAAGCTTTTCTTTATTTCCAACTGAGCTCGTCGGCGCTGGTACACGTGTCGCCACCGCTACCATGTGCTGCCGTCCTCCGTCAACACTACCATGGTACTCACCGGATGTCGATCTCCAAGACCCAACAACTCCAGCGATGAAACTTGGCTCCAATCGCTGCCGATTGCAAGCTAAAACTTCACAAATGCCCTGATCTGTCGCTTCTTCTCCGACGGTCGTTGCCCAAACGTCGCGACGATTTTCCTCTCACGTCCGAATAGCAAACCCCCAGATCTAGTCACGATTTCTTTCTCTCTCACCGTGAACTCTCTCCCTTTCTCACCGCGAACTCTCTCTTTCTTCGTGAACTCTCTCCCCCAGCGCGATCCGCGTTCTCATCGCCACCTACGAGATCTCTCCGGCGAGGATCTGTCTCGATCTTCTCTTCTCGTCTCGTGCCCAGCAATCCATCAGACTCCTCCTACCAATTACCTCCCTTTCCACCCATCGTCGCCCAAACCTCCAATTCCACCCAATGGAGCTCACGCATGCGGTTGTTGTCGTCACCGCCATTAGTGTCTCTTCCAAATCGCGCTCGTGCTTGACCTGTTGTCACTGTCGTGCTAGGAGCCAGAGTATCGTCGGAGCAACGACACCGGAGGAGTAGGAGGAGGAGGAGGAGAAGGTGAAGCCGAAGACAGAGATCAAGATTGGTTTTTTCTCTCTCCAGTTTTTAGTCAATGCTACTATGTGTGCAGGCTTATTTTTCTATTTATGAGCCCACTCACCACAGCCACTCGATCAAAATCGAAGGGTGATAATTTATCATCCTACCGTAGGGAGAAAGTACACCCTTACCATAGAATCATCCAAATAATAAATTCAAAAAAAAATAATTACACCCTCTTTACATTTTACTACTCACAATTAAGTTTTCGCGTAACTAAATACAAACTCAAATTAGATTCTCAATTTAAATTTTAATTCAAACGTGCATATTTAAATATAAACTCAAATTATAATTTCAATTTAAATTCAATTTTTAACTTAAATTAAGATCTTTATTCAAATAACCTTAACTCAAATCGTGAAAAAAATACCAAAGTGTTAAAATCTTAATCCAACAATTAAAACAAATTTACTCGTATGTAAGGAGGACACCTCTAACCATCGAAGTTCCCAAGTGATAAATGATTTATTTGTGTTAAAAAAGGATTTTATATTTATTTACATAATTCAAGAGAGAGTTACTGAACATTGGCTTAGTTTGGTATTGTTGTAGATTATAGAAAAATTATTTTTAATTGTACTAAAAGAAAAAACAACTATTACAAAAAATACCTGAGTATTTAACAAACTATAATTATAATAGATATGTTAGTTTTAAAATCAGTGTAATAGCGTTTGACAAATTATGAGGTTGAATTGCCATAAATAGTTAAAAATTACGACGATATTATATTATACTATAATATAATATATATTATTACAATATAAAATATATTTATTATTTCATTTAATATAATAAAAAACTATTATTATATAATATATTATATAATTACGATATAGAATATAATAATATTATTAAAATGATTAATATAATTACAATATTATAAAACATATTATAATATTACAAAAGAAATAATAATATTTCAATTATATTATAATTAAAAATTATAACTATATTATATTATATTATATTATATTATATTATTATTATAATATCATATTATATGATAAAATAATAATATTAGAGTTATTAATATAATTATGATATTATTTGTTACAATATTATTATTA